CTTGTTTTGTAAGATCAGCTATAGTTTTACTAATATTATTTACTAGACTTGAGATGAAAAAGAGAATACCAAGATTTTATGACATGAGTGAGATAGAATTAAGAAGGTTCTGATAGATTTATCTATAGCTAGATTTAGTACTGATTGCTTCTATGATTGCTATATTTAGAGTATTTGGATTAGATTTATTTATATGAAAGACAATTTCTGGCTTTAAGTCTTTTACAAATTGTTTGATATAATAAGTAGTAGAATATGTACTTATTAGATCAATCTTTCAGAGTAGCATGTAAATATTCTTAGTATAAGAAGTTACATCTTCATTTATTTCTTGTATTCTTAATCTTAATTATTATTGCCATGTCAAGACTTGAGCATTTATCCTAAATTATGCAATAAAGATTTGATAAAAAGAATCATTATCATTATTGGTATTTTAACTTATAGGCCAATCAGTATTTGTAGCTTTACTCTACTAATATTAGATTGATATGATTTTTTTCAAATAGGCAGGTACTATTTTTACTTTTCTTGAATTTATTATATTATTTGTATTTGTTATATGAGTAAATCTCTCAATCTAATTCATAGAATCTTTATGTATTTCATTATTGTAAAAAGAAAATGATACTGTTATTAACTTAACTTGTCTATTTTATTGATTCTGCATTACTTAAACAAGTGGTAAGAGAGCTTAGACTAAAGTTTATATAGCTTGATCTACTATTTCTTCTTCTTAATTTCTTTGGAATTATAGTAAAGACAAATCTAAAAGAATAGGAGTGTAATAATTTTGATTGGGTTATCTTTCTTTAGATCTCTTTTAATTTAAATCTTCATTTTGCACTATCTATATAATAAATTAGCTTTGTATTATATTTTTAAGAAGATAATCAAATTTATTATAAGTAAACTCATGTAAATTATCTTATTAAGAAGATAATTATATTTTATCAGAAGTAATTCTTGTATATATTATCTTATCAAGAAGATAATCAGTTATATAATCTCTTGAAGTTATAAAAAGTAAATAACTTCTATGAACACAGTTACTATTACTATTTTAAAATAATTATATATGCATAATTTTAAAATAGTAACAGTCTTTTTGATATTCTCTCTATAGAAACAAAACCAGAAATAAAATTATTAATCACAAAAGTAATTTAAACTAGACCTAATAAAATCAACTAATTACAAAATAAAAAGACAACTTCAAAGATTAATCAATTTTCTTAATTCACTGAGATTATCTAAATAACTAGAAAAGGAACTATATTGATTAGTTTATAATTTATTTATTACTAATATATCAAAAGAAGAAATATCAACAAGCAAATATCAAATATAACTTTGATTTCAAAAGTATTCAACTTGTATTGTAACTGAGATTACTAATATTATTTATAATTTACACAAGAAAATTATTATATTTAATCAATAAAGATCACATTATACTCAGAGATCAAGATCTAGTATTTCAGTTAATATTCTAATCAGAACTTCTATACCAGTTCCATCATTATCTACTTTAATTTCAACTCCTAATATATTCTTCACTAATTTTCTATATAGAAGAAGAGTTCCAGTTTAATCAAGAAATATAACAGAAAAAGAGTTTTCAGAAGAAGAAGAAGTTCAGTCTTCTTATAAGATTATTTTATTAATGATTATAAACAAGATAAAATATTATATGAATAGTTTTAATTTTATAACTTATGATTATTTTTATTATTTAAAAGTATTCAGATCTGAAGTTAAAAGTATAGAACAGACAGGTCATATTTATAAGAAATAAATATGAAATGCAAATAAATTAATAATAATCTATAAATAAAATACATATAGATTGAATAGAATTAATTAATTTAATTCACATCTTTGGAGAATAACTAATCATAATTCAATAAGTAATGATAATTATAAATATAATAAATTAAATTATTAATATTAATTATATTTTACTCTTAATTAAATAAATAAATAGAAAGAATAAATTATATATTAAAAAAAATATTATATATATATTTTATTTATAATTAGAATTATTAAAATGAATATCTTATTATTATTAAGTTTGCTTATAATAATTCAATTTAAGCTTTATTAAAATATATATCATTTAAACTTAATTATAAATAATATTTACTTGTATTAATAATACTTGTAATAGATAATAAAGTAATTATTATTGATAATTTTATTTAATATTAGAATTATATGATAAAAAATACTAAAAATTTACTTTTAAAATTTCAAGATTATTAAGTTAAATATATTAATTAATATTATTATTATCAAGAATTTAACATTTAAAATTAAGTTTTATTATTAACAAATAATATAATTAATATTATAGATTAGTATAAAAAGATTTATAACTTAATATAAAAATTAATAATTATTTCTAATAAAAATTATTCAAATTTTAATTAATTTTTATAATTTTTTTTATTAAATAAAAAATAATCATTAACTTTTTATACTATTTAACTATTTTATTATATTTTAATTTAACAATTAATAAAGCATTACTTTACTAAAAAAAAAACTAAAATAAAAATTATTTTTTTTAAAAAAAAGATATTTTAAATATTATCATTATCAATTTATAATATTAGAACTTCAAATTTTACAAACAGATTATTCTAGATTTAATAAATATATATTTTAAATTTCATAAAAATTAAATTAGTAATAAAGATATTAAAATTCAAAGTTAAGTAATTAAATTATTTACTATATAATTTTTATATTAATTTTAATCAAATTTTATATAGTAAAATTTAAGAAATAATAATTGAAAAAAGTTATTATTAGTAAAAATTTTTTTTATAAAAGATATATAATAAAAATTTTTACATTTTAAATAAATTCCAACATCTAATATCTTAATTAAATAAGACAGAATTAAAATTTTAGTTTGAAAAAATAATCTATTAATATTTATCTAAGGTACAAATCTTTTTGCACTGACCCATATATTATTATTAAATTTAATAATTAAAAGTTCCATTGCCAAATGTATAACTTTGCAATTTGAACAACTCTTAGAAAAAGTGTCAAAATTATAAATTATAGACTTATATTTTGATATAAAAACTTGACTTAGTCATTATATATTACGAATTTTTAAATTTTCTGAAATTAAAAAATTTTTAATTAATTAATTAAATATAAAATAAAACTTTAATACAGCTATTATCGTTATATTATTTTTTCACATTTTATTAACAAGGATTCAAAATACTATATAAGCAACATTTTTTTAAAAGCAAATATTCGGTTTGAGCTGCTCGAGTCCAAAACACTGAATTCATTCAAAAGTTTTTGTCAAGAAATGATAATTTTTAGGTGAAATTAGTTCTTTTTTCAGCAGGGTTCGTAATGATATAATAAGCTCGTTTAAAAAATTACGCCACATTAAATAAAGCACTATATTAGAAGTAAGATTTACAATTGGTTTTCTTTTTGTTTAACGAGCATAAATGCGAAAATTTCGAATCTAAGCAAGACCGTTAATATTCATTATTACGGCTTTTTATCATAGTTAGAAATCTTAAGCAAGACAAAAATGTAACTTTTATTAATCTTGGGTAAAAGATTCAATAATAAATAGTATGGATCCATGTGTTGACCGATGAAAGATGCATCTATAAAATTTGGCATATTTTTTTCCTATTACAAAGACACAAATGATCACCATTTGAAATTATGACGGTTAGCAAAATATCTACCAGAAAGGGATATTAATGCAATATGTGGTGATTAATTTTCTCAAAGTAAGGACGAAGAATCTTGAGCAAGTTGCTCTTTGGCGCGATCGGCGCGATCAATTAGTCCTTGAGTGAATTTTACTGCTTCTCTTCGTTTCTGTCGAGCTACTTGGAAATCTTGGGGACAATCAACTGAATCGAGAGATAAAAGTGATTGCATAAGATTTTCGACAATTAGATGATGAGTTTCAGTCAATTTCTGATGAACTTTGATGATTTCTTGATGATTATTAGACGAGATATAATTAGCAACTTGAGTCTCGAATGATTCAATCTGTGGTAATGAAGTGTTGCGTATCTTTTCAACTGAGGCAGATATACGTGATATAAGAGCATGTTCTTCAGGTGATCCAGATGAAGTTTCGGCAAGTTGAGTTTTCTGTTTAAAGAAAAATTATATTAATCATTAATTGAATTACTGTTATTTAATTTTTTCACTTACATCAGGCTTAGATCCGATTAACAATATTTTAGAAGCTGCGTGAATTCCAAGTGACGATAAATTCGAATTTTCATCTTTCATTATAGCTTTAGAGAAAGAAATTCATGATTATCCTTATCAAATTATTGTCATTTGAATTTACTTGCCGGTAAACTTACCACCGGAATACACCAATTTTTGTCCATTTAATGGCACACCCGTAATAGATTTTAGTCTCTCTTTTAATTCTTTTAAGGTTGTTTCCTCCAGCGATCCTGAACCTTCTTTCTCGAACCCTATGTGAAACTTTTCTTTACCCCAACTCACTATAATCTCGGGCTTATAATCTTTCCTCGAAGAGTTTTGGTTTTTAGAGTTATGCTTTTGGAAAAAGGAGGGCAAAAATGACTCTAAAGTGCTGCTAATCCTACCTTCCATTCTGTTTGTAAATAGAAAGAATATATAGAGTTTGAAGAATCGCCAGAGGAAAACAATCGGCAATGCAATGTCGGCGTAAATGATGAATATGTTGTAAAATTTAGAATGAAAAACAAAATAAACCCATAGTCTAGAAGTGACTTCTATCCTTTAAACAATAGTACACTCTTTTTATTAGCAAAAAGGCAATCAAATTAAAAATCTGTTGGTATAAATTATGGAACGGAACTAACTAGTTACTTAAATGCAAAAAGATGCACAACTCATCTTCCACCTTGTCCATATTTACAATTACGTGCAGGGTAGGACAAAGATGATCGAACTAATACATTTTCGCACTTTGACAATTTCACAGACACGCAAATATGGCAGCGAGGGGAGGGATCAATGCAAAAGGAGAATCTGCTCCACAGCCTGTTAAAGTTCAACGATATTGGCCTGGCAAAGTACCCGAAGGTGCTAAGGATTATTATTCATCAGAGGAAGAAGATGAGGAGCAACAACAATTTGAGAAACAAAAAGAACGGGAATTGATTAGTAGCATACAACGAGTTGACTTCTCAGAACGGGAAGTTGCTTCTGATCGCAGGCTCCGAAGGCTACAAGAAGCTAGGGAGGATGCTTCTCATCAACCTATAGATAGACGACGTCGACACGAAGTTAAAACAGAAATCACAGAAACACAGGTTATTGAAGAGGATACCTCACAAGACGTTGAGGACGAAAATGACATTGCACTTCGTCGCAAACTCATAAGAAATCGTGCAATAGAGCAACGGCGAATAGAGGAAGAAAAGCTTAAAGCAGAGGAAGAAGCCGAAAGAACATTATTAGAAAAAAAAGAAGAGGTTTGCCTATCTTGACAAAAGTATTATTCAAAGTGCACGCATACAAAGATATATATATATATATATATTAAATGCTTACTATGTTACAACGAATTGATATTAAAGAGTGAGAGTGAATACACGACTGAATATGAAACGGACAGTGAAGAAGAGGAAGAGGAGGAGGATTTAACGGCGAGACAATTAAAGAAACCAGTATTTATACCAAAGTACATGATTAGAATATTATGAAGAGTATTTTTTTTTTTCATCATCAGTAATTTCTTACAGAACATCAATGATCTCGTAATAGAGCACATCGAGAAACTATGATAGAAAAAGAACGTTTGGAAAAGGAGGCTGAGGAAGCTGAAAGAAAAAGAATAGAAGAGATTGAAAATCGTAAAAAAGAAACACATGCAATATTAGCAGAAAAAATTCAGAAACAAATGTTGACTGAAGGTGAAAAAAAAATATTTTAGATCTTTTGTTTCCCTGCTGGTTAATTGTTTTCAAAATTATTAAGATCAATTATTTTCACAGTAAAAGACGAGCAAAGTACATTGAAAGAGGTTGATGATACTGATGGGATTGATGAACAAGCAGAATATGAAGCATGGAAACTTCGGGAACTAAAAAGAATAAAAAGGGACAAGGAAGAACGTAGAGCGTAAAATATCAAGACACACACAGTTGAATTATTTTTGTTGTTACCTAATATCAACTAATGTGATTATTTATTTATTTATTTGTTGTATGAAGGAGAGAAAAAGAACAAGAGGAAATTGAACGTAGACGAAATATGAGTGAAGAACAACGCCTGAAAGAAGATATGGAACGAGTGAGAAAACAACAAGAAGAAAAACCGAGAGGGAAATATAAATTTCTGCAAAAATATTACCATAAAGGAGCCTTTTATTTGGTATACTTGTTATTTTATAGGTTTGGATTATTGTTTATTCTCAAGGAGAATATGAATATAATGAACTTGTGTATTTTTATTAGGATCCGAGTGATTCTATATACAAACGTGATTATACGGAAGCAACTCCTGATGAAGCGGGTACATCAAAAGTTTTTTTTTGAAAAAGATTAATCTTCTTTTATTATTTATATATTGCTTATTAATTCAATATTGGGGGATTTTATTAGCACATAAGGAATTATTACCTAAAGTGATGCAGGTGAAAAATTTCGGTCGTGCTGGGCAAACTAAATGGACTCATTTGGCCGATCAAGACACATCAAAGGTCAAATATTCTTTATGGATTTATGTTAATTTCATCAAGGAAAGATTATTTGCTCATTCATGATGTTGATCTTTTTTTATGCAGAAAGATTCTGCTTGGTCTCAGAAAAACGAGCTCAACAAACGTTCTCTGCATAAACTTGCTGGTTTACATCACGGAGGTTTTGATAAGCCAACAGCGAAAAAACGTAAACTTTAATTAGATAATAAAGTAAAATTAATTTTACCCGTAAGTTCGATTCTTTATTTTATTGGTTTATTTAAATATATATATATATACCTGCTACTTATATTTTGAAATAAGCAGGAAGATGATTATATTGACAATAATTAGTGAAGAGATGCTAATAGACTTTTTTTAATACATGAGTAAAAAAATTCCCAAGGGTAAAAAAGTATTCGGGTTATTCAATAATATAACCAGGTAAGTTTTGGTTTCAAAAAAATGATAATCTATGGATTCATTTCTGCCATAATCCGATTATTGGTTCTGAAAGAAAACAGAATATATATATATATAGTAAAACTGATAAAACTTCGTTAAAGTAAAAATCTTATTTGCATACTTTGGCCCAAATTTCAAATATATAATAATTTCACTCGAGATTAGACCACAATTTGGGATTTGACCAGCCAAATATGGATAAATTATAATTTTGAATTTGAGTTCTTATACATTAATGGAAAAAAACTTAAAAATTTTAACAAATATAGAAATGAATAATCGACCAAATTACGCAAAAAAAAACCGGAGGTAAGAACTTTCTAGTCATAATACACGTGGATCCAGGTCGTATTATTATATGTGGTTCGTCATATTGACTTCATGCCATCGTGTACAGATAGATAGAATGAATGTATGCGCCTTTCAAAGTACCTTTTTTTTTAGTATCAGTTATCGCGTGGGCATCGATCCTTTTCTCTTGTCTAATTGAAAAAAAGGAAAGTTGTTCACCAAGTAAAGATGTTCGGGCGCAAACAATAAGTTATCGTCACTGTTATTTTGTTGCCGATACAATAACAAATTCCAAATAGCGTTCATTCACATTCCATTCTTTGATTCATTCTATTACTGATAAGCAGAACACAAACACAGAGTACAACAAAAGCCGCCGAAGAAAATTGTTGATGATGATGCATAATAATGAAGACTATGAATCTTCATGATAAACAATGAATATCATATCTTAAGTGGTAATCACGGTAGAGAGATCAAGTATAATTGCATTGTCTATGGGTTTCAAAATTCTTTAACTTTGTCTTGCGAATACAATTGTCACACTTTAAACTTTGCCTTAACATATGATATGTGCCCGATAAGTTTCTCAAAAGATGGATAGATAACGGGGGGAAGGCGTTGTCTCCGATCATCAAGTATAATAACCATCTTGCCCGTCATGGGAATGTGTGTAGCTTTACTATTCCTACTACTCCCACTGCGCTAATTCTGTGTAATCCGTCTTCTCAAAAAACATGCATATATATCGACATATAAATATAAAAATACATTTCTGTACACTTTATTTTCCCCCCAACAAAGAAAATTTTATTTTCCCAAATTCATATCTCGTGAAAATTTAATTAATATTAACCCCTTTGCAGTTGCCCCTTATCGCTCGGTCGATTTGACAGCCCCTCTAATTTTTTTTTTTTTGGGTTTTTTTGGGTGGAATTTCGACATCAATCAAATCACGCAACTGAATTTATCAATTGACAAAGAATTTTCTTGTAGTGACTAAATAAGTAAAGAATTCATTTCTTCAGAAAATAAGCATGTTTCATGCGTTAAGTCAGGGCGACGAATTAGATAATCGTTGGGAAGGTAATTTTTATTTCGAGACAACTAAAATTAGCAAAGTTAAAATTGCACTAACAAACTTAAAACCTGGTAATGCTAACTTCTATTCCTCCCTCTCTATGCTTTCATTTCCTAGACTATAGCCCACATGAGGTGAATGAGAGAAGTTACTTATTACATGATCCAAATGAACATACTCAAACTCAACTTATAAATTGGATTGGAAAAACTTGGCGAAGAGCAATAATCTTAAATTTCTTGCCCGTTTCACTGGTTAGTAACAGAAAAATGCTATGCTCACCCCTCCTACGTTAAGATAAAATTAATCCTCTATTATAATTTAAAGGTTCTTATATGGGTATCAATTCCATTTCCTACACATGATCCAAATCCTAACAATGAAGGTAGTTCTCTTGTTTGGAGTAGTAGCAGCAACAGCAGCAGCAGCAACATCAACAATGACAATGGTGCAATAATTAATGCGAGCAGCAGCATATTTAATTTCAATTCATCAATAACAACAAACATATCAAGTATTGTTCTGCCAATCATTTCTAATACATCACTTTCGCGTCTTCCGTCAACGCCACATTTGCCACCTGTCGAAATTAATTTTTGGTATTTCTTGTTCGTTTACTATGGAGCATACAATGCGATCGCTTTACTGTTAATCACCAAAATATTTGACCTTTATTCGTTGAACTGGTGGCCAAAATGGCTTGGTGGTGTATTCGCATATACCGTATTTTGGCTGCTCTCTTTGACGCTTGGGGTCTTCATTTATTTATTTACCGGATTAGAGAAATACACATTAACTTGGGTTTTACTTACTTTCCTGACAATGGCAATGCCTTTATTAGTGGCATTCATTGTAATTCGATCTCAAAATCGAAACACCTATAGACATTCATTGACATTAGCACAAAAAACCTTTCTTGAAAGACAATTACCATATCGAATTCCAGCCTCATATCTACGCTTTTTATGGTTTTGCTGTGCATTATCAATCGCACTTCTTGCATTAATAGCCGGTGAAGGCTATGCTTATGTTTTTCTCTCCACATTACCACACAATGGGTGGGACGGATTAGTTTATGTGTACTCTTGGGTCGTAACAATTTACATTTTCGATTCGCTCACCGACTACATCATCGAAACACGCATAAAATCCTACCCACTATCATCCGTTTTTAAACTTTACTTTTTCATGATCTACTTCATTTTTTATCGAAATCTTTTCGCAAGATTACGTTCATGGAACCAATTTTTCATTGTTCAACTGGCAAACTCGTTATGGGTCTGCATCTTCTATCCGTTGTGTATGACACAGCCTGTATATATGGGTTTGGTTTATTTCGCGGGGGTTACAAAAACCTATGACCAATATAAGAAACATTTGGGACGCTCGTTCTTTTTACGGAATCTCGCGGAAAACGCGACAATGTTGGGTTTTCTTTGCTGGGTTCTCATTCTTCATTATGGACCGAATAAACGCGCGTACCCCTATTTCCAATTTGATGATGGAAATGAATATACTGTTGAGCTTACGGTTAAAGCAAGTATCGGTGTGTGGATAAGTGAGTTAACAAGTTCTTATGTAACGCGACACATATTTCGAAAAGCTTTCAAACATAGCGTTAGCGAGGAAGCGGTAAAAGATTTTGTGAGGTACCCGGAGATGATTGTGACTATGATGCTCGTAGTTATTCACGTGTTGCAGGTAACTTATTTTTATCATTATCAACAGCAAATTAACAATCATCTCTTTATAAATTTAAATAATAATTTCAACATTTTATCTCTACATTATATAGGATATGCTATTAGCCACGCTCAAACTTAACTTTGAAGGTGGAAATTCCGCCATACCTGTTCCCCATGCATAATATTGTCCGATTTTAAGTTATTAAACTTCCTAATCCTATTTTTTTTTCTACCCAATCCAAACCAATCCCTCCATTTTTGAACATTCCAAATTAACGAACTCAAATATCCAAAGAAAAACACGGGAAAGTGTTTTTCATTATGTATTTAAGCAATTATTTATTACTAGTTTTTTTTTGTTATTTATTGTAAGGGCGATCGTGCTTTTTCTGTGTCTCGTTAATTTCTTTAACTCTTCCTTTTTTTACCATCTCCAAAGAATAGAATAATTTCTTTCTTTATTAAGAACATTTTGGATTTTCTAAAACTACCCTTCACATTTCATCATCATTTTCAACACTTCAAAATAGAGTTCTTGTATAAAGTAATCATCATTATCATCAGTTTGTTAACTTACTTTCCGTTACATATATATAAATATTACAGATATATATATGTGTATGTGTATATATATCTCTATATATAGAATAATAATAATTATAATAGTGGCATGGAATAAATGGGAACAATCAATCAGAAACATACAGAAACACACACACAAACACCCACCCACCCACCCACCCACACACACACACACACATCCACCCACCCACACCACACACACATATACACAGAGAAAAAAATTGGGCGGGGCGTGCATTAATAAAATAACACGACCTGTCCTTTACTTTTTTTCTGCATCCTTCTACTTTTTGCATACATCAAAAAGAATACATTTATGTTAATATTTATTGTTAATATTATTATTATTAGTGTACTTTATTTATTCTTAGATAACGTTCTGGCAACGAAATCTAATTCTTGAGCTTCATTTAATAAAGCATGTGACAAAAGTCATCTAGCTAGCTGTTTTTGATTGCAGTTTATGAGATTGATTGTTTCAAATTGGCATGCGTGCGAACTTGTTTGCTTCATGTTTGATGGATAATATGACAACTTTTTTCCTTTTTCTTCAGATAAATGAGTTCGAACGGTTCACTCCGGAAAATGATGCATACACATACATTCGGTCTCAACGACTATACGTAGATATTGCTAAAAAAAGCAATTCTCAATAACTCAAAAGATACCTTATGATTTCCGAGTTTACTATTTCCACATTGGTCATAATGGAACTGCCCATAGAAAATTGTGTTGGCATTGCAATTCAATATACCGAATTTTTTTTTACTATGAATTAACCATATCCAGTGTCGGAGATCTCCTATGTTCCTCAATTTTTGTTCTCAAGAGAACGCGTTTGTTTTCAAAGTGTTTTCACTGACGAATGTGTTCTCATGAGAATGATAACCAACACTGTACCTTTTGTCGCTGATTTTCGAAGGTCTAAAAATGATACTACCGGATCCGAATGACACACGTACAGGCATCAATTTTGTACACTCAAGAGATAACAAAACTCATGCGCCAGATAAAACATTTGGCCATTTAATATACACATTAATAGCCTACTCTGAGAGCCTCTAAAAGAGATGAAAAGTTAGATACTTGAAAAATTGCAAATATGTGGGTTATCCTATATATAACTTTGTGGGGGGCAGTGAATTAAAAATTTCGGATCTGCGGCCAGCTAATAAAAAAATTAATACATACACGTTTTTGTGTGGAACATAACAATAATAATAAAAGGGATTTACCTGAGATTTTTTATTTTTTACATGATGTATCAATACAATTTGCTGATTATTACATTTAGCTCTAATTTTTTGTGTTACGATTGATTAATAATTACTTTGCAAAAAGTTGGTTTCTCGTTGATGATTGGATAGTAAAATAGTAGCATTAAAAAGAAGTGATAGCAGTAGAGTAGAAATAGTGAAATTAGACTAAGATAATGATGGCAGCGAAAGTCGTCGATATAGTTGAGGAACCATGGTAGCAATAGTAGAATAATAGTAACTACTCTTGTCATAAATTCATTATAGAATTTAAGGCTTTTCGTCATTATTAGTCGTGCTAACAGACAAAACGACGTCTTCCATTGGTTCAACTCCATTCTTGCCATTATGTTCGCTATCTTCCATTGGCTGGTCATCTTGATTAACTTCAGTAATGTTATCTTTGATTATATCAGTATCAATTGTCTGTGCTTCTTGTTGTGGCGGTTGTTGTGGTTGTTTGTTAATCGAAGGATTTTCTTCGGGTGGAGTAGGCGGTTGTGTTTGTTGCTCCTTGTTATTATTGTCAATAGTTGTATTTAGAAGGGATTCATCTTCCATTGGAGGTTGTTCTTGTTGCTCTTTATTATCACTCTCAAGAGTGGTTGATGTTCTGAACGTTTCTTCGTCTATTGACGTAGACAGTGGTTCTATTGATTGTTGCTCCTTATTTATTTCGAAAGCTATTTGGGGTGATTCATCATTAGTTTTGTGTGTTGTTGATGATGAATTATTAGTCGTGTTTTCCACGGTTACATTCGAAACCGAGTTTGCTGATGCTGTCGTCGCGGGTGGCAAACTTGTTAATAAGATCTTCCATTTTTTTATTAATTCTCCGCTTCGATATTTAATGTTGTGACGGTCATCCTCCAAATGAAGCGAATGGATTTTTTTCATAAGTTTTCCTATTTTGCTTTCCTACAATATTGGCAATATTATTATTCACGATTTTAATCAAATAATGCCGCCGTCATTTAAAATTGCATTGTAAATGTATAATTACCTTGAGCAATTCAATATTTATATCGAATTTTTCAACTTCGGTAAAGAGGGCATCAATTTTTCCCATATCCTTTAAGTATAGATTATATTATAATTATATTATAATTCTGAATAATTCATTCATTATACTAACTTACCTCAATATGTTCTTTGAGTGTTAATTTTTGGAGTTTATGTCGGAGATGCAACAGTTTAGCACTTGGAGCTAGAATAATAAATTTATAAATCGTTATGTAATAAGGGAAAATTGAAAAACTATACTAAGATACGTACTTTCTGCCTTAACAGGCCTAACTTTAGCAGTATTCGCGTCATTATCTCGTTTTGACTTTTCATGCGAGACATCGTTGTTTTTAGCAAGTCGTTCGTCGTCTCCATCAGCTGTAGCTGAACCTAAGTCGGAATTATTGGATGACCCCGAGCCTTCACTTCGAGAAGTGTCTTTTGGAGGGGTTTCCGTCTAGATTGATTTTTGTTGACTCATTTAGAATTCTGTGATTGTATCATGTATTAGATAATAAGAAAGAAAATAAAAAAAAATACTTTGGCTTCATCAATGTTCATTTCATCCTCTTCATCCGTATAATCAATCTTCCGCTGTTTACTTCGATTATGTTTTTTCGATTTCTCAACATCCTCATCATCGTCAGCCGCCTCTTCATTATTAGACGAGCGTTTTCTACCACTTTTTATCGTTCCCCCTTCTTCAGATGGACGAGCAGCATCAGAAATCGCGGTAGTTTTAGATCTCGACCTTGAAGATTTTGAACTCGTGGACTTTCTTCGTTCACCTGCAACTTTCTCTTGCTTTTGTGGATTTCTACGTGATTTATCGCGAGAACTTGATTTTTTTGAAGTATTTGTGTTGATGCCATTATTTTCGGATGATTTATCAGGCGTTGTTTTATGAGTTTCTCCTTCATTCGCGTGGTCTACAGGTGACCCTTTCTCAGTATCATCATCTTTTTCATCATCCTTTTTTTCCGGTTCATCAAGGGAACTGGGGTTGAGTGCTTCTCGAACAGCTTTTTCAAGAAGCCTATCCCGTTTTTTGCCTTTTATTTTTTCGAGAAGTTCTAACGCCGCATTATTGTCAAAAGGTTTCAAATCAGTTTTGCCAAACCAGCCACTAATAATAATAAATCGAGAGAAAGACGGAAAATTAATGAGGGCGCGTAGATAAGTAAAAGCTAAACATTATTTTTTGACAATGATTATCGTGTTTTTTGTTAGTAATCCTCCAACTTTAAAATGAACAAAGAATAAATAAATGGATTTTTAGAGAAACCATAACGACAAAATATAAGGAGTCGCGGATACACCATCACAAGAATAAAAATTCAAACCGATAATAGAAAAAAAAAATGCTTTCTAATATACTCACTAGTCCCTCGACCCAAAGAATCTTACGCCCCAAACTGGTCTAGGGCCTTTTGGTTTTTTGGTAACTACCATCGACGGTAAACTTGACTCTACTTCGATCTTTAAATAAAAACAACATGAGTAAACTAGTAAAACGGACACCTCCCCCCCCCCCACCCCCATGTTCCGTTAAAATAACTCATTTCGCAATGTCTTATTTGTCGTTTAAAACCATAACACAACTAGCAAGCAAAGAACGAGCGCTCGATAAAGAGAGAAAACTTACACGTGCAGGCCACCAAGGATAACCTTTAAGTTTAGCATACACAACAGTGCCAGGAGTATACTGATCCATACTCGTAGTCGTCGTCGTTCGTTCTTGTTTTCACTCAATCAGAGTAACAATAGCAATTCTTCGGGAATTTCTCTTTTTTTATTCGTCGCGAAAAAGAATCGATAATCGTGACAAAGCGTATAGCAAAAGATACACACAGGACAATTCAGAAAGGCAAGAGGGTATTACTGGTGCTACTAGTGCGTGAAAGCTTTATTTCTTCGCGACAAACTGTATCTTGTGATAACTATGAGTGTGAGAACAAACAAAAATCAAAATAAACTTTTGGACCCGTTGCTTTTTATTGGCTCCTAAAACAGGTATATCTATCTATCTATGTGAGCAAGGAACGAGATGTCTTTATTTCAAGGTGTGGCCCATGAATAAGGGATATTAACTACAAACACATGATTTTCCCAGGGAAAGGAGGCATCTCCTGTTATTGGCCAGAATTGATACAATGCCCTCTTTCGTGACATGCAAATTTACATGTCAGTTTGTTTGAGCATGCCAACCAATAACGATTCGACGATCAACAGCGAAATGATGCAAAGGTGCGAGAACACCTTATCATAATAAAAAAGACACAAAAAAACACGCGACATTTCCTTGACAAAATGACCACACCTATACCAGCACCTATAGGCCCAACTTTAGCCTCAACCATTGATCCAACTCGTTCAAAAGAATGTTTTTACATGGCCAACCTCGATTATCCTCGATACCCGTCTCTAACTCCTGACATGGCCACAGAAATGTTGACAAAGGCAATGAATCTGATTAATCAAATTGCTTTCAGTTTCTTGTACATTGATAGACCTGCTGGTAAGGACTTCTCTTTGCTTTTCCTTAATTCTAGGTGGCCATTAAATTAGTTAATCAATGTAGTGTGAGGCTTGATTTATTCATTATTATTGATTGATAATAATTATGGTGCTTAGATGGCCAAGTCTACTTGATTTGCTTGCCACCTAATGACGAAGATTTACCACCTGATGGGTATGTTTCTTAACAATGGTGATTAGATTACTAATTTTGTTTCTTTCGATCTATCGTTTGTTTGTTTTGCAAAAAAAGAAGATACTCATACTTTTTTTGGATATTTAGTTTCCATTATCTTGAAAATGAACAGTCTTACAAGATGACATTGCCAGATGGCCGGGTAAGAGAAAGAGTGAGGGCAGGGAATTATATATCAAGTAGTGACCGATTGTTAAAAAGTCAAATTTTAAAAATTAGAAAATAAATATAATTCTTACCTGATTATTTGCATTCTCCGAAAAGGAATTGCTTTGTTTTGAAAGAAGAGGAGGATATGCACCAAACGAACAATTCACTTCAAAGATTCGTCGGCGATATAGACTAAATGTCGGGAATGAAAATTTACAAATACTTCATTATGCACGACTCGAGGATAATCGTGAGTAGAGCATAATAACTTTTGTTTCTCAGTGTATATACTAAATCAATTACCCAATCTTTTAATGAATCTATTTTACTGTAAGAACGACAAATGTTGACACCAACCGGAGTTTTACGAACTCCTCCACGGAAGTTTCCTCCTCCCATGTCAGCAGTAAGCCCATATATCCGAGGACAGCCACAACCACAACCGCAGCAACAAACTCCCATCCAATCCGTACAAATGCCACAGCAAACACCGGTGCGAGCACCTAATCAAATTCCAACCGCCGCCGCCACACTTTCTTCCTCATATATGCAATTTCCAACACGCGCAACATCAGTACCATATGTGGGTCAGAAAGGGATTAATAATAATATGGTCGTAGCAAACATAAAGTCTAATAACAGGCGGGGGAAAACCGCAAAAGTATGTGTGTGTACTTCTAAGCGATGCATTTGATGACAATCCTTTAGTATTCATAGTCGATTCTTGATTTTATTTGCTCTTTAGAATAAAGCAGCACAGGCAGCTGCAGCAGCTGAAGAAGCCGAAGAACCATCAGGAGGTAAAAAATAAAAATTGATGATTTTTTATCTTACATGAGATTGCATCTTAATAATTCCGCTATACTATTAAAGATGAACTTGACAACATAAAGCCTCGAGAAATTTCTCTTGCTAGATATAAAAGGAACCACGATTACATTGAAGAGATATTTTCTCCTCATAATACAAGTAACCTATTACTTTACTTTTTATATGTTCGTTTTCGACATGTTTTTTCGTAATTTTTATGGTTACTCATCAGCATCTATTCATTAAATAGGTTCGATAAAGCTTGAACCTTCACCTTACGAGTCACTTAATATCGAGGAACGAAAACAACAATTGGCAAGTCTTGTGCAATTACTAATATAAAAAATATTGCTGTCCTTTAAACTTTAGTATATCTATCTGATGTTATTGTAATTCTATTAATGTTACTTGAATGATTTATTTGACAAGTATAGGCAGATAACGAAGCGTCGATTGAAACTCTTACCCAGAGGCATGATCAAAAAATAAAACTGTTTAGACAAAAATCAGCGAACCTGTATAAAAGCCTGAATATTATCAAGAACTCGAATAGTTTGGAGGTATTCGCTAGTTTGAAATCTTGTGATCATTATAAAAATTGACATTGGCTTAATAGAGAATAAAATTAAACGAAATATTAGGAACTGGAAAGACTGCAGGAAAATATGCGTAAAGACTTGGACATTGTCGCGCAGCCATGCAACAAGGTCAGAATGGTAGAGCTAACCAATGTTCCAATGGAAGAGGAAGAGTTGCAAGAAGCACAAGCACAACAGGACATTAATAATCTAGTTTCAGCTCAACAGCCACAAAATGATATAATACAACCATTACTGACGCAACAAATGGAATTATCACAACTCGATCCTACTGAGCTCGTCCCTCCTTTTGTACTTCAGCAGGGATTAGTGGTGGGAGGTAATGTGGTGCCTCCGAATGGAGACCTGCACGCCATGTTGGATGTTAGTTCTTTGACCGGGGATCCGGCGCAACTTGTGTATGATGAATTGGAAGTTTTGGCTTCGCATATTGGTGGTGGTGATGCACAAATGGAGGATTGAATTGATTTCTTTTGTTAGTGAAAGCGGACATTTGAATACAACATGAATTTATAGTAAGTAATAAAATGCAAGATTGTCGATACCGCTTTTCATGAGGTTTGGGTATGTTCTAAAGAAGAGATTTAATTTGGTTCCAAATTACTTATATTTTGCTCTAATGAAATTATTTTATTAATATCAGTCCTATTCCGTGCACCTTTAGAAATGTTGATAATAAGTAATAATGTTTAATATAAGGACATTTAGTTTGCATTTTAATTTACAACCGGGAATACGAATTTCGAAACGGTAGTCGTCGCGTTATTCAAAATTGGAATTTTTAATTTTACGCGTCTTAAGATATTCGATATGTTTAAATTAACTTATATTATTAAAAAATATAATCTGACAGAATAAAATCTCAATCGCACTGTAAAAACAAACGCTAAATATTACTTGCATAAGAAAGTTATTAAAATTAGATATGTATTTACAAATGTCTTTTTAAGTTAAATAAATAGTCGAAATCTATGTATAATTTCTAGTTATGTTAAAACTCCACCTCTTGCACCGAAATTACTTCGACATCATCAAATTCTAATCTATCCAACTCCCAATATATTCTCCGTAATCCAAAATCAACGATAGCCATACTCACCGTTATCCAACGTAACACCCAGAAGGGGAGTTCTTGCAAAAATTCCTAAGTTTAAGATAAATAAATAAAAAAATAACGATTAAACTAATAAAATTAAAAATAAAAAAGTCGTACCTGAGTTGACGCAACGCGAAAAGCTGAAATGTTATAATGAAACCAGAAACATGCAACGAATAAGCTCGTGTAAATCAATACCACTTGTTTTAACTTTCGTCGCGGATTCTCGGTAATCATCATATCATAGACATCGCTCATCATCGCGTACGCAGTGAAAACATTGTTCAGTGACCCGAGAAAGAAAAGACCGAGATGAAGATGATGAATCTCTGGTTTACACAGGAAATCGAACCAGAATTGTGCAGTCATTATTGACGGAAAATGCGGGAAGTTCGAAATAACTGATGGATAAAATGAATTGGTGATAGGAAAATCGTTGTTATTGAATTCTTTTTTTATTTTTTGCTGTTTGTTTGTTATGATTTTTCCCGGTTCTTTAGATTGTTCATGTTCTGTTGTTGGTGATGATGATGATGATTCGGTATCTTCTTGTTCTTGTGGTTTTAGAGAACGACAATTGCAAATTGGAGGATAGAAAGGATGATTCGGTGTTGCAACACTAATAGTATCAGTGGTAGTAGTCGTCGTCGCCGTAGTGAATGTCGTTGTTGAGTCCTCTAAAGAAGGGATGTTGGGGGTGGTCGTAGTCGAGTTCTTTGTTATCGGATTAATTCCTTTTATATACATTGGTGACGTGATTAACATCGATAATTTCATCAAATAACCGCATGGAAGCAATAAAACGAATATCAACAACATAGTAATAGCTATTCGAGCTCCTTTTAATCAATAAATTGTTAGTTAAGATTAGATTATACATTTACCCAAGTTGTGATTGGAAAAGCTATGTATAAATTTATTTACCTCTAGTTGCTAATATGCAGCCCCACGTAGTTTTCCGCTTAAAAACATATTTAAATTTACATATTGTGCATGAGTCAATCTCTTCTTCCCTTCCATTCGCCACAAGTCTATACCGCCATTGCGCCAAACAAGTCGTGTGAACATACTTTACAGTGCCTGGTTTTTTTGTTGTCCAATAAGAAAGAACACACCAGAATTTGAACGCGAGAACAATCAGGATTTATTTTCGTTTTTAAAGTTTCTTTTGTGAGAGACATATTTTCAATCAAGCTGTCGAGAATAATCGACGATATCTCCAAATACCTCTACAAATACACGGAGCAATGAGCTCTTTTGGGTTGTCGCTACTTAGACATATTCTACACACATTTTCAGTCTGACGCTCGGTTTCCAGGGACATTTTATTGGATTGGATTTGTTTTATTACGGTTATCAAATGAGAGTACGAAAGAAAAGATGTAACTTCGACAAAAACAAGCTTCGCACGAAATTTATTTGTATCGTGGCTTTTTCGGCATATCACACGACTTTTTAAATGTTAACGTTAACGGACAGTACCCCGGAAAATCCTATCCCTGATAATCGGTGATACTAATGAATATTTTCCTTATTAATTAACACGAATCTGTCTTGAACAAATGCATTACTTTTACTACCGATTATAACACTGGCCCGGAATCTACTTGGTTGATTAATTTAAATTTCAATCTGACGCGACACGGCGCATCAACGAAAAAACTCACGTGACTATAATTTTCACCATCGTTAAATTTTGCGACTTGAGACACATAAATATCTTGTGATTGTCCGGAGCGAAGCGTAGGACATTATATTTTTATTACGATTTGGTACTATGGGCGATTGATTGTAGAACAAGTCTTGCAGCAAAGATTAAGGTATTTATTATCAAAATTTTTACGCTTTTCCGATTATACTGTGAAAAAGTTCTCACTGATTTGTATGTAGACATTATTATCTATTTGTTCATCGAAAAAGTTATTGAATTATTTTCCTTTAGCTACTATCTTGTAGATGTCGATCCCACAATGAACAAAAAATAGGAGAGCGTAAACACATGTCTCGTCATTATTTAAATATTATGAAAGAACTTTTCTTACCCTCGAATTCGATTGAACCGAAGTACAAGTACAAGCCCCGCAAAAAGGACGAAGAAGTCAACCTAAAAAAAAATTTACAACGAAAAATGATATTTCCATCGAGACTCACTCAAAACTTCTGAAAACTGGTAAATAGCTGCTTTCAAAGACAACAAGATGCTCCGATGGCCTAGATATTTGGCACATAAAAGTCACAATGTGATGCAACCTTACTTTTGGTGACTCAAAATGGTTTCGTAGACAAAATTTCAAGATACAAGCTATTTTTCAAAAATTAACATTTGTTTCGAATTTTTTCGTTCGTGACAGCCACTATGACTAAGATACTAATAGGTATGGTCACAGTAGCAAGCTCAGTTACAAGGAAACGTCCATTAGGAAACATGTTGAGAGCATAAATTGTAATTCGATTGTCTGAAGAGATGAGAATAAAGTATTAGAAAATACAAGCTTTAACACATAAACCATAAACCATAAACCATGCGCTCACTTATTAATTTGGTGCTAAACACTCACAATCAAGATGATTCCGCGATATCGTGATTAAGTTCAAAATATCTGCTTGGCAGGTCTTTGTGTGCTATAACAAAAAATGTTCCTTACGAAATTTGACTATTAAATGTAATGCGCACAATATACAATATATTTTTAACTCTGCTATCAGCATTAATCATTCAAGCGTATCACCATTTGGCATTTGACGCACCTGTCTTATTTGTACATAAGAAAAAAGGCACTCTGAGACTGTGTTGCTCTGAATAAAGTTATTATTTAAAAATTGGTACTCCAGCTATCATCAAATCAGGATAAAAAAGAAGACATTTATAAAATTATACTCAAAACAAGATATGATCTTGTCTTATCATTCAGTCTTATTAATATATTCATCACTTTCATGATGCTAATGAATAATATTTTTCATAATTATCTTGATAACATTCTAGTATTTAGTAAAACTATATAAATACAAATTATATGCAAAATTGAAAAATATGAACTTATCAAGCAATATATTAAGTATCTGAAATATTTTATCTTGAATTAAAAAATCTTAATAGATTAATAAAAAATTATAACAATATATAACTGGCTAAAATCAATTAATATATTAAAAGTTTGCTCATTTTTAGATCTTTGCTAATTATTATTAAAAGATTTCTTTATAATTATTTTATTATTTAAAATAAAATCTTTATTAAGTAAGTTAGCTAGTTATTTCTTTAATTTATTTATAATAAATAATAAGTAAAATGAAATAATAATAATAATAATTTAGATTTAGAAATTAAATTAATAATATAATTAATTATATATTTTAGTAATAATTATTTAATAATGATTTAAAAAAGATATTAATAAATTTTATTATTAATTTAATAATTTTTTTAAATATTAATACTTTTTAATATTCTTTTTTAATAATAATATAAATTATAAATAACTTAATATTAGATAAATATTTAGCAAATTATTAAAATTATTAATAAAATATATAAATAAAATTATAATTTTATATAAATTTAATATTATTAATTTTAATTTTAATTATCTTATTATTATAAATAAATATTATAAAATTATTATATTAATTAATAATTAAATTAATATAATAAAGTTATAATTTATTAAATATAAAATTATATTATTATATATAATAACAATTAAAAATAATATAACACTTAAATTTTTTACTAATTATAATTAGTAAAATATGTATTTTTTCTTATATATAAAAAACATTTGTTAGTAAAATTAAAATCTTTTATATATAAGAAAAAATATATATTTTACTAATTATAATTAGTAAAAAATTCAAGTATTATATTATTTTTGATTACTACTATATTTAAAACTTTATATATTAATATTAAATATATAATAGATATTTAACTTTAATTTATTAATATAATAGATAAGTTAATTTTTTTTATAATTATTAATAAATTTAATAATAATTGTGACAGATTAAAATGAATTCTAATCCTTTTTTATGTATATAACACATGATTTATACATATAATTATGTATCATGTAAATATACATGTAAATACATAATTATATATAAATCATATGCTATTAATAATGACATATTATAATAGAAGAATAGTTAAAGTGTGATCTGATTAAGGGTAATAGTTAGGGCAGAGAACAAGATTATATAGAAAATTGCAATTCTGATATTTTTCATATAGTAACTCACTAAAGAAATGAAATATGAAAAAAAATAATAATATTTGAATATTTTACTATTGAAAAATCATCAGAAATCAAAAAAAAGTGGATTTTATTCATTAAAATAATTATAATTATTTAATGCATATTTTATTTTTATCTATCTTTTACTTTACAAGTTAATAATTTTTTTAAATTTTTTTAGCATTCTGTGTAATATGACCAATTTGAACAAAAAAGTTCAGGCTTATAAAGATAAGTATAAAAGCTCTTTTTCTATTACAATATCTATAGAATACTTTTTTTATTCTAAACAATAATTCTAACTATTTTTTAATTCCAAAATATCTTGTATTTTACTAGAAAAATACTCCTGAATATATACTCTTTAACAAGAAGGATATTTAGTCTGGAAAATTATATTATCAGAATAAGTAGACTTAGCTTTAGTCTAATACATCTATAAAAATAAAAAAGAAATCAGAAACTTTGAAGATAAGCCAAAAACTGATCATTTATGTATTCTTTCAGATTGTTATAAATAGAATACCATTTGATTAATATTATTTAGAAAATGTACTATTACTATTCAAGTTTAACTTAAGCTCCAAGCTGAACTGAAAATCAAAATTTCAGTGGAAAGCATATGATATATATTTAGAAAAAATAGTTTATTCACAAGAATTAAGTGAAAAAAGTCATTACTTAAAAAAATACACAAAAAATTCCAACTAAAATGGACAAAAAAACACTGAGATTGGATAGCTGATGATTGACAGAAAATAATTTGGTCCAACAAAAATAAGTTCCAATTATTTGGATCAGATAGATGTAAATAGTATTAGAAAAAGCCTAGTAAACAATTAAAAGACTATCATATTACTCCAACTATAAAATTTGATAGCAGTTCTATTATACTTTGGGATTATCTAATTGCTAATGGAGTTAGTGAACTCTGAAAAATCAATAGCAAAATGGATACTGATATTTATGTTAATATATTAAATAACAATTTTTTAGATATAATTTATAAGAAAATGCTAGAGGATAGTGAATTCATATTTTAGCAAGACAATGACCCAAAATATACATCTGAAAAAGCCAAGTAATAGTTTGAGAATAATGATATCACTTTACTTGATTGGCTCATCCAGTTCTCTAACTTAAATCCAATTGAAAATTTATAGAATAAAGTTGACAGATACTTGCAAAATCTTCCTGGTCCACTTTTAGATAAAACTAATTTGTGGAAAAAGTTACAAATTGCTTGAAGGAGTATTGAAATTATCTTTTATGAAAAGTTAATTAATTCAATATTAGAAAGGGTTAATAATGTGATACAGACAAGAGGTGAGTATATAGAATAGTAGTCTTAGTTTAGCAATATATAATATAGTTTTTTTTAATAATAGCTGATATTTCCTTAAGAAGAAACTTGTCTTTAAATATTATCCTCCAGATTAGTTATAATAGATGAAACGCTAAAAAAAATTAGAAATTCAAGTTAATTTAATTTCAAAAGATAGATAAAAATAAAAATTATATTAAGTCATTATGATTATTTTAATGAATAAAATTTACTTTCTTTTGGTCTTTGATAATTCTTCAATGGTGAGATATTCAAATCTTGCCATTTTTTTTGCATTTCATTTCTTTAATGAGTTACTATATCTTGTATCAGATTTATTTTGCACCTATGATGAATTATACTTTAACTATATATTTAAAAATAATAATGTATTATTAAAATAATAATGTATAATTATAATAATAATACACTATTATATCTTAAAGTTTTTATTATTTGCTCAGATAATAAAATTGTTTTTATTTAAAGAGAATTTGCCTCTGTCTCTTTTAAAAAAATTTATCTGTCCTCACTATCTGCCTTCTACTATCTGCTTTCTGTTATCTGCTCTCCACTATCTGTTGTTCATCTAAGTTTTCTTAAGTTTTTGCTACAAAAGTCTTTATTTTATTATTGATCTCAACTTTTATAGTCTTATTATTATTATATATAAATATAATCTTTCCACTATTACTATATATCTGTTCTAACTTTCATTTTCTTGTTTTTTGATTGGTATTGTGATTAAAAGCAATTGTGATC